GACAGTTGGTGAAAAGAATAAGGCTGGACAAAAGATCTTAGTTCTGCTGCACACAGACCACAACAAATTCACCCTGATATGGAAAGGCCCTTTTGAAATACAGGAAGTACTCAACAGAATGGACTAGAAGGTGAATGTGAATGGGAAGACCAAGATCTACCATGCCAATCTGTTGAAAAGGTACTTTGAGAGGGAAGAAGACCTTGTGAGTGCAGCTACTGATGTACAAATGGACATGGCAGGTGTGGCTGTCATAGATGCAGAACCAAAAAACAGTAGCTTTGTCTTAGAAGATAAGGATCTATTAAGTCTAAGAGCACTGATTAGAGATGAGATGTACAAAGACATCAAACTGACTGATATGAAAAGGGAAGAGAAACAAAATCTACATACAGATAGATTAGGAAACACGGACCTCAGGCAACACAAGGTCAAGATAAAAAATGAGGGATCCTAGTAAGGAGAAGCCTTACTGGAGACCCTATGCTAGGAGAGACAGACATAGGAACTGTGAATGTTAATGCAGACTGTATGAGCAGAGTTTATGTATGAACTAAGAACAGTCTTTATATATGTTTTGTTTTTTGTTTTTAGTTATGCACAAAGCTACAAAATGGGCTATCTGTGCTCTGCCCACCACGGGTATCAAAACCCGGATTCTAGTATTGTAAGTCCACAGACATACTGCTGTGCCACTGGGGGAGTTTTGTATATGGTAAAAAATTTATTGTAAATATTTATCTTGAAGACGGGTGATGTCATGATACAAAAGACTGTTTAGGTTAGATATTATTGATTAATTTATTGTGTGAGTGAATATTTTAATATTGTTTAGTTTTTGTTATAATAAGAGTTAAAAGTAGATGATTGTAGGAAGTTATGTTTATAATTACTTGATGTTGAGACTACTGAACATCACATGCAATACACTGACGTTGAGAATATAGATTTCTGGAAGGCCAGATGATTAAGTGATAAAGACATAAATACGTGAGATGAGCAAAAACAACAGACAGACAAGCGTATTACATTTACAGTATGTTATTATAATAACTTAAACTTTGTCATGATATAAATAACTGTTTGGTTTAAATATTAGTGATTAATTTATATTTGTGAGTAAATATCCTATTATTTTTAAGTTTTGTTATAATAAGAGTTAAAAGCAGATTATTGTAGAAGGTTTTGTTAATAACTAATTGGTGTCGAGAATATAGAAAGTGGCCAGCCGACTATGAAATAAAAATATAAGTTGCGTGAGATAAGCGGGAAGCAGCAGACAGACAGTATTAGACAGAGAAAATCAAAGAGAATATAGTTGGTGTGAAGTTAAGTAACGTAAAAGTGATAGGCCTATCGTTTAATGTGTTAGAGTGAAACTAACAGTAGAAAAGAAGATAAGAAAAATAATTTTATTCTGTCAAAGCATGGTTCTAAAGTAATTGAATCAGCCTGAGTGCACTTTGACAAGACAAACAGAGGACATTTACAAGAAAGAAAACCAAACGATTTCAGTAAATCATTCCACAATTGTAAGTGAATTACCAACAGAATATTAGTGCAATATTTATACTATTAAGAAGTATAAGTAAAAGTCTATTATTTTGGAAATTGGCTAAAAGAATTATAGTTTTAATTCTGACAGTAAGAGATGATAAACCAATGAGCAAAGATAGAACTAGTGTTGGGTAGCCTTGGCCCAAGTCTTAAAGGTGTTAATGTCACCTTCAAGTCAAAGAAAAGAAGCTAGACTGAGGTCAGTCACAAAAGAGAGAAGAGTGTCACTTCGCAGAAGGTTCCAACAACAGGGGAAACATGTAAGCAGGATCAAGGTAGAAGACAAAACTCTGGCCAAGGTATTGAAAAGGACCAACTGTAGATCCCCATAAACACTATTAAGATCCTGGTGTTGGGCTTCAGATGGGAGATGAAAAGAGGACAGGTAATAAAGCAGATGGGTAAGAACAAGGAAAACACATGAAAATTGAGCACTAGAGTGTTACTGGAGTTAGCCCCCAAGTGGATAGAAGGAACTCCAGGGTTTGGGAATCCAAGAACAGAAAAGGGAAACAGTCATAAGCCATGTTGAAGGAATTCTGGAGTTCAGGAGGACAAGCCATTTGAAAGTGGGAACGAAGGTGATCCAAGAACATGTCAACATGTACATGTATGTTTGGAGAAGGAGAAAAACCAAATAAACCTCAGTGTAAGAGTTATGTATTAAGGAACAGGAAGAATAAAAGGACACAGAAGCAAAAAACAGATCTGAGAAATTAAATTGACAAACAGATTTGGAGGAAGACCACTGTCCTCAACAGGTAAAGAAGAATTTAGTGCAACACAAGAAGTGGAAAGAATTGATTAAAGTCATTATCCTTGTAGTAAAGTTCAGAAAGAGGAGAACACGTGTCAGATGCAAGGACAGAGAGATGAGGCACAGAAGGCATCAAAAAACACAATGAACTATGGCAGTAACATCTTCAACAGTCACCAAGCCTCAAGTGGCCACAAAGTAGGGACAGAGTTAGCAATGTTGCCAGAACTTTGAAAGGATATAGGAGCCATCATCACCTAAGAACTCACTGTTGTAGCAATTTGCCAGATCAAAAGGATAAAACATTTTTTTTAGTTAGTTAGTTATTTAGGGACAATGTACCTTTAACTCAAAGTTAAAACAAACTAAATGGAAACTAAAGAAAGTTAGCACTGTCAAAAGGCAGTGCAAATCTAAAAAATTGAAGTTTAAACTTAAAGAAACACGTCTATTAAAGACAGTGCCGAGGATGGGAATGTAGTTAATTTCGAGTGTCTGTGTTTATGGGAATCTACTGCACATGGAGGATGTGTCGCCTTACTATTGGTGGAGAGCTACTGTCACATAATGATTAATTCATGCACTATATAGTTCACATTATACCACATGTCTTAGATGGGAGATACCTCAAAGTTAGGGCATGCAAAAAATTTCATATGCAGATGTGGAAGGAATAGCTACTGTGTGATGAAAGATAAGAAGACTATTTTGAATGAAATGATCTACTTAGCTATCTAATCTAGAAGTATTTCAGATAAGAATGACGAGAAGTTATTGATTTTTTTTATAGTTAAAAAGCTGTAGATCCAACCTTTCCTTTTTTGTAAATTTGCAAATAATATATCATCAACTATCCTTGGATGCTGCATCTCTGATAAAAAATTATCACTTCTACGAACAAGTTTCTACCACAACTAAGCATTGTATACGTAGATATGAACTACATCAGTAGGTGATATCTTTCTGTTTATGCATAAAGAATATTGTCCTGTGTATGTTAATATTAACACTGTAGATTTCTAAGAAACAGTACTTTATAAAACTAAGATCACAGCCTTAGTTGGAAACTCAAAGACTATATTATTAATAAATTAAGAGCCAAATTTACTCAATGCTATTAAGACCTCAGTGTTCTACAACTAAATAATTAGTTTACTTTTAAACCATGAATTATGAAAAGATGACAAGACTAAATTATTAATATTATTAAAGTGCTTAAATGTATATAAAAAAGTACATATTTAACTGTTTTGCTAAAAAGAAGGTAATCCAAAACATCATCCTTTCATCAAAACCACAAAGCTGCTTTAGTCAACAGAAGGTAATCCAAAACATCATCATCCTTTCATCAATACCACAAAGCTGCTTTAGTCAACAGAAGGTAATCCAAAACATCATCCTTTCATCAATACCACAAAGCTGCTTTAGTCAACAGAAGGTAATCCAAAACATCATCCTTTCATCAATACCACAAAGCTGCTTTAGTCAACAGAAGGTAATCCAAAACATCATCCTTTCATCAATACCACAAAGCTGCTTTAGTCAACAGAATATCTCATTACATTAAAGAGATCAGAGTTGATTCAGTTAACGTGTTGTATGTTTTCTACATTGAGGGAAAATACTATTATAATTCATAGTCACCAATTCTTCTATATGGTTAAATGAAAAAGTTTATTTTGCATGGAAATTTAAATTTTCTTAGTTGTGCAGAAAAATATTTAATTTATTTTTTTTTAAAAATGTTTTCTGAAATGCTTCAACTATAAAATATCAAAAATTCAGGAATGTTAAAAAATAACAAATGATTTGAGACAATTCTGTATATTCAAGCATATTTGTTCTCCTACATTCCATCAAGGCTCGTCTGTTTCATCTTCCAGTCATAATAAATACAGACCTGACTATTTCAGATATTTACTTCCTAAAATATTTTGGGTTTTATTATATACTGACTGTCTGAACTCTGCTGGTAAGTATGAGGTTAAATAAGTTCTAATAACAACACAATTTAAACCATTAAAGTTAAATGTTTTGGAAAAATATTCCTAAGAGAAAAATTCTCTTTATTTTCATTGAATGGCTGACCTGGACTGAATAAAGTACAAAAAAAGTGTACATAAAATAAATTTCAAAAAGTCAGAATTATAAACTTTTCCAAACAAGAATTTAAGTTTCAAAGTTGCACATGGTAAAGTGACAAACACTGACAATCAGCACAATATTTCATGACAAGAAATCCATGGACAATACTTAAAACACAGATTAAGTATCTGGTATGAAAAGGTAACTGAATATTAGTGAGCTGAGGGAATGACAGTACTGTTAAGTACTTGTTACTATAAAACTATCTCCTGGTTTTCTTGTGTTTTTCACTTTAGATAAGTATAACAACTAGAAGATTAGATTCACCCAAAATATATGTAAACTGCATTTGGTCTGCTATGTTTCCATCCAGGTATCACCAGCAACTAAAAGGTTAAATACTATTATTTAATGAACTGAGTCTTTTGTAATGACATGGAACTATACATTGTACCAGAAAAACCAAACTGAAAATTTACTGCACCAAAAGTATCAAAAAAAAAAATCTAATGATCGAGAGCACTTAACACTACATCAAAAACACAAAATGTGGTTCCTGCAAGATTAAGGAAATAGTACATACTTTAAAACTGTTTCAGACAAGGATCTAAGAAGTAGGCAAAGAAAATTATCCTAACTTGATTTCCTCAGCAATCAGTTGCTGGGCTTCAGCATCAAATGGATCAGCATTCATCATGCGAATTCGAAGTTGTTCTTTTCTTGCTCGTTGCTCTTGTTGTTCTTGTAAAACTGAGGTAAACTGTTCTAAAAAAGAGAAAGATTAAAATGTTTAGAAGACAGAATGGTTAAAGAACAAAAGATTAGAATGTTCAGAAGATGGAATGGCTTTAAAATAAAGTAATAAGTAAAAATAAGCATGCTTATGGGACACTCGTGAACAAAATTATTCACATATTAATAATGATATAAAAACTTCTCTAATGTGCATGTATCTCATACAGACCAAAAATGTGATGTAGTTATAAGGCAATTGGGTGTATGTAACCAAAAACTTATAACAGTACTGCAATTCAAAGAATAAACATCACCAGGTGAATGTGAAATCAATAGCATAACCCATTATGCTACAAGTACACAAAATTTTCATTTTCTTAAATCAAAAATGTATTTCCTTCAATACTTATTCGACTGCCAGGGATTTTTCCTTTGAACATCTAAGTATTGGTTTTCTGTCACTTGATTTTCTAAGATTTTCTGTCACTTGCTCTAGTCTTTTATACTTTTTATATTTGTCTTGTGACACTCTCCATCTACGTCAATGTATCCTCTATCCTGGTACTGTATGTAAGCTCCTCATTCAGATAATGTTATCACTTTTTCGAGACTGACTCAATCCCAGTCTCTAACACTGGCTCTTAGTGGGGAGGAAGGGTGGGAGAGTGTCAATGGAGTTAAGTATGATTGGAAATACTATATTTTAACCTGACTTGGGAATCAGGTAAAGATTATTTTTAATTTTTTGTTCCTTAACACTGTTTCTTCAAAACCTTGAAAACCTGTGTGAAGACAAGCCATTTACTTATGTTCGAAAAGTTTTGGCTAAATATTTATATATATAAACACAACTGAAGTTGCATTACCAGTTTATTATTATTACAATTAAATTTTGAGCTGGGCAGTTAAATAGATTAACTTATATTTAATGGATAACAATTACATCCATTAGTGTCATGTAAATTTATCAATTAACCAAAATTACACATTTCCAATTATTCAAACTATTCAGGTAATCAAAATATTGCCATTATTATTTTTGATTAGTTCAAGTTTGTTCAGCATAATCAATTACTGTCACAACTCACAAAAATAATCAACTAATCAGGTAATTGAAATATTTTCATTATGATTTTATTATCATTTTCTCAATTAAGTTAGCTTTGGGTCAGCATGGCTAGGTGATTAGGGTGATTGTCTCCTGATTCAAGGGTATCAGTTTGAGTTATGACCATGATACTAAATCTTTCTGCCACCTTTCCTAATTTTTGGCTGCTGACCAGCAACACCCACTGCCAATTTGTGACTACTCTTTTTCCAATTAGATCTAAAAACATGCAATCTATCAATACATCATCATAAATAGAGGATATACACTCAAAATTATTGATAGATTGCATCATAACACATCAATAAATTAAGGATGTTAACATATACAAGGTTAGAGGGTAAAGTAGATAATATGAGAGTTTGTTTACCATATGTTCAAGGCTTATCTACAAAAATAGGTAATATAATGAAACAATACACAGAATGTAGCATAACATTCTCTCTGCACCATTGTAAATTAAATAATATCAAGAGTACAAAAGAAAGAATGGAAGAAATTGATAAATGTGGGATTTAAAAAATTCCTTGTACCTGTGGTCAAGTTCATATTAACCAATATTAAAATGAAGGATCAAGGAATATGATAACGGAGTGGTAAAATACAAAGTAAACGAATGGGCATTAGCAGAACATGTGACAGAAACATCTCATGTTATAGACTGTAGTAACACTAAATTGTAAAAATAAATATATTAAACAAGGAAGCTGGTCCAGGTCTAGAAATAATAAAGTACTGAACAGATGTTTTGTAATTCTGGATAGTTTAAGTCTAGATGGCATTTTGGTATGAAAATCATTATGTGGATATATAAGTCCCAACCTTGCTTTTACTGTTACTCTTGAAGATGGTATCATAGACACTGAAATATATGTACAGTCATTTTAGAGAAAGTCCCTGTTTTTAATAACTATTTATTGTGTAATAGTTTAATGTTGTATTCCTTTTAAATGTAAATAGATGTTTTACACAAGAGTCATTTTTAAGTTATTTATCACAAATCTCCCATAATTGATTAATAAGTTTAAAAACACGTCCATTTGAAGCAATACCAAGAACAAGAATAAAGTTAGTGCAAGTGTTTAAGGGGAGCTACTGTACAAAGAGATTGTGTCACCTTCCTATTAGTGGAGGACATCATTAGATAATGACATCATCATGCATCAGCACAGTTCATGTTAAACATATGATTTTTAAGTGTGAGTTAACTCAAGGCTAGTGGCATGCAAGTCTCATTGGTGTATGCACAAGGGATCAAGTCATTCTGTGTGTAGACATGAGGTATCATCTTGGAATTCCTTTTTAATTGTAGGACTGTATTGTTTTGTAGCATTCTTGAATCTGAAAAAGCTCAAAGAGATGTTACAGATACAAGATACAATGTACCAACAAAAACATAACACTACACCTGGAATTAAGAGGTTTTGTTCTTGGTAAAACAAAATTTAATAGGAATGACTCTGTTTGATAATCAAATGAAAAAAGACTCAGAGAGGAGAGAGGGCTATCAATGGTTTGAAATATTTTTTGTTTTAAAAGAGTCAAGGTCACCAGAAGAAAAAAGTCAGAAACTATATTAACCTTTCTCCACCCTACTAATGTCATTCAAAAAAGATGAGGGAATTAACATAGCTAAAAAAACCCTAATAAAAAAGGGATTGTATAATATACTGATCTGCATTTTTTCACTTCAAAGTTTTTAATCAGTAATAATTAAAAATTTAATGGTATTTTCAAAAGAATAAAAATTTATTAAATTTTTCAAAAGGTCAAAGTTTATCAGATAAAAGGCATTAAGTATCAATAAAAAATAACCTGGATTTCCTAATTTAAGTGATTAAAGAATACTTCTAGATTGTTGATATTTACTGTAAAAAAACTTATAGAATCCAACAAGGAAAAATCTCATCTCTTACCAACACTTCCACTGAGAAGGGCATCAGCTAGATGAGGATTGTTATGCTTTAGTAGGGCTAACTGCTCTGGACTATTTAGTAATACTTCTCTTATGTGTGCAGGATCATTCTGGTTCTCAGTATCTAATAAATAGAATAAGAAAACGACTGTTAGGGGAAGGCTGAAGTCAACTGCTCTGGTCTATTTAATAACACTTCTCTTATGTGTACAAAATCATTCTCGCTCTTGGTATCTAAGAACCTGAGTAAGAAAATACAGTTGTTAACAGTAAGGTTGAAGTGAAATACTCTGGAATAGTTAATATTCACTTAAGTGTGCAGAATCATTCTTTTTCTCATTACCTAATAAATTGAAAAAGAAAATATAGCTGATAGCATTAAGGAGACAGTGCAATGGGTGACTGTGTTTCCCTATTTTGAAAAGCAGACTGAACCCAATTAAGGAATCAAAGGATCAGCAGGAATGGGCAGAAAGTACCTTCTGCTTTACTCATGAGTGATGGTCCACCAAAGATACAGTGTTAATGATTTCTAATACATAGATATATATACATGTATACCACTGGAAAAGCCCCCAGTGGTTTTACAGAATCACCCCATCTCAACAGTGAACATTATATAATTACTTCAATTAGTGCCGGCTTGACACAAAGCATACCCGAAAAGGCAACAAGGTAGGATCTGTAAAAAAGAATGCAAAGATTAGAGAAGCTGAAAGGAAAATATAAATGAAAGGAAGCAAAACTTACCCTAGACAAAGGTGAACAAACATGTGTAGAACTGCCACAGGAGGAAAACAATATCCACCAGAGGAAGACACAGCCATATTTAGCAGATAATGAGTGATAAAGATATTAAGAGTAGCTCACATTCTAGCCAAATGATCTCTCTCAAAGAATGAAGAAAGGGAGTAGCAAAAAATATAGTAATGTGACAAATTTGATGTGAAGAGACATTATGGAGTCAGCAACTGTCCACAGACAAGTATGAATAAGCCAGTCAGATGAGTTCATGATCCCAACCACTGAGAGTAACAGGTTGCAGAACAATAGAAACTGAAGGATTCCAGGGAATAAGGAGTCAGGAATGCAAACCCGAAAGAAGGAAGAACATGCCACTTAACACCTGAAGGAATGAACTAGACAAAGGAAGTCTATCAGGATAGAAATAGAAGTACAGATAGGAAATGGTAGGTAAGGAAATGGGTGTGAAAGTCAGAACACAGACACTGGCAATTTAGGCCCTAGGGAGGAAGGACCGTGGTTGAGATAGAGGATGACACAAGAGGAATGGTAAGGATGCAGGTAACATAAAAGGTATAAAAATCTGAATGATGAGAACCACAAGCAAGAAGGAGAAGGAATTAGGTTGTGAGGGAGGGAAGGTAGATGGAACATTAAGATAAAGTCTAAAATGTAGGATGAGAAAGGGCATAAAGGACCACAGTGAGATCCCAATAGGCAAAGCAAAGGAATGGAAATGACAGGGGAAGACAACCCAGAAGAAACAGAAGGTGATAGAAAAGACCGCCCGAAAACTGGACAGGAACGAAGTGGACAAGCCTTTGACAAACAACTGGATGAAGAATAGGGAATGAAGGACAAAAAAAAAGCACATTGAAGAGACCAAAGTCAAAGGTAACGGTCATGGAAGAAGATCTCATGGATTGGGAAGGATAGATGCAAAACATGGAGTCAGACCCTGGGCTGAGACAATGGACAAGACAAAACCATGCATGAAGACAGAGAATGGAGACATCTGTGGAACGAGAGACAACTTTGTGATGAAAATCTTGATGGAAGACAATCAAACCACCACCAGATGGAAGGATTTTGGAAAAAGACCACAATGTGACAATAGTGGTCTTAGAAAGAGACCCAGAATCTGAAAGCACAGAGACCAGAAATCAGTACTCCCTGGCTCAACGATATAAGTGACCACAGTGGAGAAGTGGGAATGTACCATCACTACCACCACTCAACTTAGAGAGGAAGGAGGTTGGACAAGGCTTGATGAACCACCAAAGGCTTGAGAAAGGCGATATGGAGACAATGTCCTTGATTGACCAAAGACTTGGAAATCTCCCAGGTGTCAAGGTAAGAACCTCAGCCCTCTAAAGAGGAGTATGGAAACATATGTAAACCTAGATGAGGCAGAATAAGCAGCACCCCTGCTGCAGTCTGGACTCTGGTCAACCACCAAGACAGGGATTCGAGGAGAAGTTCTACTGATCGAGGAGTGTTCACCGATGGGAACGCATACGAGTCTGACCCATGGAAATGAGAGCTTCCAAGGAAACCACATCCCTAAAAATATAGAACATATCAAGCCGTAAGAAAGGTGAGGGATGTGTGAACTCCTCCTTTCAAACCCAAAGACAAAGAAGAGAAGTCTGTGCCTGACTGAAATTGTAAAGAAAAAAACCTTAAATCAATGGGGTATTAAGAGGGAGTCAGAATGGACTTCCCCCCCTTGTTATAAGGAAACCCATTCTGCATCTTGTATAAGCAGAGGAGTGTAGAATAAGGACTGAGAATGGGATGAAGCAAGCAGAAGCCAGTCAAACCAGAGAAGGAAGATTCACAGAGGGAAAGGTCAGAAAAAATATTGTATTCCCCAACAAAACATGTAAAGAGCTGTATAGAATCACAAACATAGGAAAAGGAACCAAAGCTAAGCTCAGCCCAACAAATAAGAAAGAAACGAACATGTCAGTGAAGTAACAAGGCAAAATTTTATGTCCCACAGTGATAAAAATTAGGAAGGGATGGCACAATTGAACACTGATGAAAAAATTCAAATAGAACAATGAATAAATATTACTAGTAATAGTGATATGTAATGTATCAACTATCAAAATATACACAGTAAACAAATGACTGACAGACATCAAATGGGCAAAGTATAAAAAATTTCTAGTCCATAAAGAATATAAAAATAACGAACATGCTTACTGACAGAAATTACAGAGAAAACACAATAATAAGCAATATCTCAGGTACCAGACAGAAAAAGTAACCTAGATGACAAGGACACAGAATTAAGTATGTAATAATCAATATCTAACAAACCATTTCACAAAATTAACTGAGATGACAAAAGATGTATAATAAAGTCTGACATTGACATAAGTGGGAATGAGAAGGCACATAGTTAACAACTATGTTAAAAAAATTACACAAACAAAACAACAAATTAGAGGTTCGAGTAGTTAAGATACATAACTAACACAATAGGAAAATACAATGGGAAAGTATATATTAATAAGGAACTAACAAAATACCTAAAATTAATAAACGTGCATAATGATTAAATTTACCAAACTCACAAAGTAATAATCAATATATAATGTACAATTAAACTAAAGTAATGTAGATAACAAAGTATACCTAACTTACCAAAATCCAAGCACTCATGACATCCTGTATATAAGGAAGGGAAAAGTCATGCAAAGGGCATCAGAACCGGGCCTACCATGGGTATATCGAACTGGTGTGAAGTGTACATTTTGTAAAACTTACCACAAATCTCCAGGGAGAACTTGAAGCTATAGGAAGAAAGGAGAAGCACAAGTCTCTCCCAATCGAAAGATAAGGCAGCTGACAATTGGGAGAAGGTGCCTGGAAAAGGAGAGACCAAAATGGCAACTTAATGAGTGTCCTCTTCCTCAGAAATAGTCACATTGAGAAGAAGAATAAAATGCAGGCCAAGTGTAAGACTAACTCCATGCTATCCAAGACATATACTTCCTCAGCATGTAAAGTCAACCTTGTGTTATGGGAAGTCATATCATTTGCATTGTTTCCTGTCAAAGTAATATTGTCTACCACAGGCAACCTTGAATTCATACTAACACACTTTGAATTCGGAAATGAGAAAGTTAGAAATTGTTGAATAAACTTTGTCAAAAATGCCAACAAATCAAAAACTGTAGTCACACTTGAAAAAATTAAACACATCTATACTGTGTCATGCCAATTGAGAAAGTGAAGATTGACCAGGAATAGCAAGGGGGGGGGGGCACTAGCTGTGCCATTATAGGTGACACAATACTATTGGTGGAGAGTTGTCACATGATACGTACATGTTCAGAAATGGCACAAAACTGGTGGGATATTAAGACTGGTGCTGTGATTACTAAATATTCTTTTAGCAATGCTGAGATGGCAGACAATGATTAAATTAGCTTTTATGTGACAAAAGGTAAGTTCGTTTCCAAATTATCTCCATCAGCAATGTCAACATCAAACGATTCCTGTGCAGTAGGTTCTTGAAAAATAATCTCAACTGTTTCAAACTCATTATGATCTTGATAATCATTTAAATCTTCATCACCAACAGAATAAATTTAATTTTACATGTCTGACTTCCATTTCTTGGCTCTATCTTCTATAGACATGTTAGAAGGATTTTTTTAAATTTCATTTTCCTCCTTTTTTGTCATAAACTTATCCAAGGCTGCTTCTAGTATTTGTTCTTTTTCCTCATGTGGATAAAGTGACTAAACCCTTCCTCAACAACACTATTACTGGGCCATATACAGAACAGCAGCATACAAACATTCTTAACTTCCTTCCTTCAGCATACAAGCACATGCTCCCAGAGATCCTTAGGTTTGACTCAATTCATGTAGTACTTAATCATTCTCTTGAATTCTTTCCATTGTGAGCTTATCTTAGTTTTATTAAAACCATTCATTCTTTGTGTCTCATAAAAATACTCTGCAGATAAATTTAAACACTTAATTTCTCTGGTGGTGTCATCCAGTTTGCTGGATCTATTCAAAATATACCTCACTAAAGTTCATTCTCAAATGAGGAGAATCTTGATTCAAAAGAAGCCTGTATACATGTAATGACTGTAATTCTCAGTTTGTTTACGGTTTCCTCAGCACGGTCTACATTTTTCATTAGGCTGTAGTTGACACTGACAGTAGTGTATTCTCTCTTTGTTTGTTTTTTATGGTACTTTGTTTTAAGCAAAGAACTCTTAAGATGCCAGGAACCTTATTTCAAGTTTGAATTTTTTCAAACAATTTTCACATTGTACACATGAAGTTTTTCCTTGAGTTCCTGTAAGGCATTCTTTGCTTTTCTACCATAAGAAGTATTTGATAGCATAAA